GGGGGGGGGGTTCTTGTCTGCAGCTAGGCCATCTCCCTAGATCTGGCCTCAACTGTCCTGGTGTCTTTGTGTACAGTGTACTTTTCCAAGATTAGCCTTTAGTCTTATAAAGTATCTGGGTCTGGAGGTCGGGATAATGAACTAGGCTTTTGTGTTTATTTCTCTTCAATGATGCGTAGATGAAAAGGGTACGTAGTAAAGATCAAGGCGGCGGGGAAGAAAATTTCCCAGACCTTGCACAGAACGTCGAATCTTAGACGTCATGCAGGCATTTTCAGCTTTGAAATTGGCTTGAGAGCTGAAGAAGTCGGACAGGTGTAACCATGCTCATATTTGGTTGAAGGTATTAGAATGAAAAGATATGTGAGCTTTCCCATAAATCAGGACTTTCACCGAGTTACCGAGACTGAACCATCTTAACTTCTCGCACCTCTCATTGACATTTACCACGATCGTTATCATGGGACGACTTCAAGATGCATTTCTATGATGAACCCGTTTCGGATGCAACCAGTGTGGCCTCGTGAATGTCTCTCGATCTAATCTTATTGCCCATGTGTCTTTGCGAGAAAAAGGACCCCGATGTCAAACACACGCCAAATGTCCAAGAGTGAAGCCATCTGATTTTTGCGGACTAAGAGGGCATCATACAAAGAAGTGTAGGAAGATGAAGATGGCGAGGAACCGGAATCTTTCAACGCTCTTCCAAATCCCGCTCTTGCAATTCCCTCTTTGGACCCTTTTCGGCCACGTTGTCACAACAAGTAATTTGGCCATCGAGAGAAAATCCAAAGGCGTCGAAAATCGACGCAGTCGCCTCTGTGGCGCAATGGTAGCGCGTACGACTCGTGAGTGTCTCTAGAAGACCGAATGTGTGAACCGTTACTAACCCAACCTAGCTATACGAGAAATCGTTGGTAATCGTAAGGTTCGGAGTTCGAGTCTCCGTTGAGGTATTCACAACTTTCTTTCTTTTTTCTTGTCTTTCCGTTTAATCTTTTTGCTATATATATATATACTATCGTCGGAAAACCTGGCTGGGTTCCTGCGAAACGATCTAGTGGGGATTAGTGTGATAGGAAGTCCTTCCTTCCTACCAAGGGAGTATAGTATTTAGTACCTCATAACAACTAAGGTAACTACACCCTATCTGCACTTACTCACAGTAACCAGCAGGCACCGCGTAACAGCTAGGTACTACGTAGTACGTCCCCTTTATAAGTAACGTAATTCCATCGTGATCAGAGATACCAGATATTACCCGTGTATACACAGGATAGGATTATTCTATCGCGTATCTTCCGTGGTTCTACGGATACCGCCGTATTTAAAGACTTTACTACTCCAGCATTACGGACGATAGCTAGAACCTAAACCTATCCTAGTCATAGACAACGCATCATTTCACTAATCGGAAGGACTTAAAAAATTATACGCGGACGCAGAGGTAAATCTAGTCTATTTACTGCCGCCGTATTCGCCGGATCTAAACCCAATTAAAGAGTGTTTTGCTAAGCTTAAGGGGTTTATTAAGCGTAACTAGGACTACTACGAGAAAGACCCGGAGCGAGGATTTGATACTTTTCTTGAATAGTGTATTAATATAGTCGGTGCGAAAGAAGAGAGTGTCAGAAGCTATTTTCGACATGCGGGCTTAAACATAGAGATTTTTGATGCTTAAAACCCCTTCTAACCCCGTGCCAATCATTCTACCCTTTGGTGTCCATCAATTATGGGCCCTGAAAGACTCCAAGTCCAATTGTTCGGTTGATAAAAGCCGAAACTGTGATATTAAAATGTACTATACATATAAAGGGTTCCCATACAAACATTGTTTATCGGGGCGCATCCTTGGCCTTGGATTAGATATTCGCTGGCTACAGCATCGGTGCCAGCGAACGGGACGTTCCACGTATACGTGTAACCACTCTGAGATTGAGGCGCGACACCGATAGAGGACCACGACCACTCCGCATTGGCTTTGGATTCAGAATTCCAAGTGCCAGTGTGTTCGTAAACCCAGAGTAAAAGTCATTGCCTTCGACAAGGTAGTTGACGACCTGGTGCCACTGGGTACCTAGAGCGTCCACGCCTGCCTTGTCAATCGGCCACCCGTGGACGACGGGTAGGACGAATCCTACTTTTTCCTCTTGTTTGATGCCGATGAATAGCCGCACAAATGCGTATGGCACCAGGATATCGGCTTTGTAGATAACGGTGTCGCCATCCTTTGTAAAGCCAGCATTGGCGATTGTACGATTGGCCGGTAGGCTTTTCGTGCTCGCCGAGATCAACCGGGAGCTACCTCCACTGCTTGAAGCTAAGATCGTCCGTACCTCGAAGGTGATACCAGAGGATCCGGGCTCGAGCATGCCAATCGTAGCTCGGGTCAATGAGGCTGGCAGCTCCAGCACCTGTTCACCATCCTTATACACCGCGTAGCCAAGAGCACTTGCGACTGATGACCAGGTGAGGGTGACGGAGCTATAGTCCGAAGAGGAGACGACCGCGTTGCTTGGAAGACCAGCAACGTAGGAGCCAGTAACTTTAGCTGGGTCATCAATGAGAGGCATGCCACCTGGTACGGCGCCGATGACTGCTTGCATATAAGCCTCGTTGGGCAGATTATCGTAAGGGGTTGGTCATCGTCGGTCATTTCCAAGAACCCGGCATTGCGGCTCGAGGCAAGAGTAGTAACACTCGCAATCTGATCCTGTGGTACCTTATAGATGATATGCCATATCTTTCGGGGGTCCTTTGGCGTCCAATCATTAGGTACAAACGAGTTCGTATAAGTCTTATAGCTGCTCTCGAATGTCAACAGCGTATCCATAGTGTCTTCAAAGCATTGAGCTATTGGTGAGCCAGGATTGAGTACTATATATGCGCCGGGGTGTTTCCGCTTCGTATAATTGTTGATCTATGCGTATAGATCTGCGTAGATATTGTTGGGACCGCATTCTGGCCAGCCTTCATCAAAAAAGATACCGCCGAGACTGGTGCCATATAGCTCGAACCACTTGTCGATATCTTGTTCAATTTGCGAAGCCCAGTCTGCGAGGTCATGCGAGCCCAGTCGAGTTGTAAATTGTTGTTGACTCACGCCGAGGTAACCAATTCGAACATAACCGAGGATCTTTTTGCCTTGACTCGCTGCTTGATCAATCACCAATTTCCAGGATTCATCGACCACATAATCCGGTCCGTTCAAAACATTGGCAACCAATACGCTGACCTTCTGAGTGTCGTATGCGAGGAGTCGTTCCCACGAAGCTGGGTCTCCGAGGGGGTTGATATACGACGCAATGGCAATCTGCTGGCCGGCGTCCCCTCCCGAATCTGGATTTGATCCCTCGTCCGTCGAGCCCAGGGCCTCTATCCAAGTCGAAACTTGCTTGTTATAGCTATCTGGGTAGTCGGAAGCTGGAACAAATCCATCAATGGTTAGAGTAGAGCTGGTTGCGCTCACGTCTAAATCGTCATCACAGCCTGGATAGTCTCCACTCCAAATCGTAATATCGTCGTCGGAAGTAGTGTTCAAGTAAAAGTCGCTGCCTTCTGTAACGAATGAGGCAAGCCTACCCGGATGTGGGGGCCCGTCGATTTCGTATGTAACAATGGGTAGGTGAGGATATCACGCTCTTGAAGATTGATTCTCTGCTGTTCGTGTTCATAGTGTTGCTTTATTGGCCTGTCCGTCCCTTCTAATCATTGTCCCACCGCGTACTTCTCGATCTCTCATATTGTCAACCGTTGCCGGGCAAGAAAGTGGGGTCGCCAGGTCCGTTTCGTATTGTGGGGCTTATTTGAAGGGGGCACCACTTTCTCCCGTCATTGTGGTTGTAAAATGTAGCTATAGGAAAAGTTTGAATGACAAGAGAAAACAAAAGGCTAAACAAAGACCCGTATCCATTCGACTCAAACCATCTCCTCCATCAGAGCAGCAGCAGAATAATGTCCACTAATCATTGCAGCCACGATACCACGGAACAAACCACAAGCATCCCCGGAAACATACGCAGGGGCATCAAGCAGCTTCAAACGACCGGAGACCTTAGGATACCATCCAACACCCTCCAAAGTAGGTCCAATCAATTTCGCGTTCTCGTCCGTACCCAGGTCGGGGAATTTTTTAGCAAGACGCGACAAGCCCTTAGTCATGGCAAGACGCAACTCGCGACCATAGATCTTGTCGAATTTACCGGTAACACACTCGTCTTCTTGGAGAAGGCCTGTCATCGGAAGCTCAAAGTGAGAGTCGGGCTTCATCATAGCCTTAATAGCCGGCAGGGTTAAGTCCTTCGCGGTATTCTCATCAAGGATCAAAGTGTTGAAGCCAGAATTCGATCGGCCGGTAGGTGGACAGTCTGAGCGTCCGGAAACAGTCCAGAGGCCCTTCGTCTCAGTAAGCACTGTTTCTCCTTGGCGACAAACACAGAATGTACGCCATTCCATGCCCTTTCCAGTCTCCTGGAATCGCAACTTAGGATCGAGCTGCTTCATATCCCGGAAGAAAGCTCGATCACTCGATTGCTCAATACGGAATCCAACCTCCAGTCGGCGGAAGTTTGAATGCTCAGTAAGATTCATCAGGCCGTTGCCTAGAGGCCCAAAACGGCCGGTTGTGACGATGATTCGACGAGCACAGAGCTCAGAGAGAGCGCGGTTGTTGTTCTTGCTGACATCTCTAACCTTGAGCGTGAAGTTGTCTGCCACTGCATCGTATTGCACATCGTCAACGTGGCACTCGTTGAAGATCTGGCCTCTTATACGGCCGACCATATCATCGATAAGATTCATTCGTGCCTCCAAGGAAAGATAATCAGATGGGTACGCCTTCAAGACGAAATCCAAGTCCTTCAAGGTATCAGGACCCTTATATGCGTATTGTTTCGGGCTATCAGGAAAGGGAGGTGTATCAAGACCTGCAGCACCGAGCCTGTTACACGTCCACGTGTAAGCCTCTTTCAAGGCATTTTGATCCTCCAGTGTCCACAACTCAGTTGCAGAGGGGAAGAACGAGAACTTCCCGTCGGAGAAGAGTCCAGCACCTCCATTACCACTAGTGGCGTCCGTGGCATCGTATCTATCTCGCTTGGAGGCCGTCTTTCCAGAATCGAGAATAGCAAAGCAAAGACCCGAGTTTTCGAGTTTAGCGGCGGCGGCAAGCCCAGCAGGGCCCATGCCGACAATAATAACATCAAAGATATGCTTCATGGTGTGATTGAGAGAGAAACTTCTTTAAAGGATTGAATGAAGATGCACAGGTAGGCTCGGGTTTTATATTATTTTCATGGATGAGACTCGCTTGAATTGACCAGATCTCAACACTGGCATTACGCATCTAAACCGAATACGCAGACGCCAAAGTACCTCCGTGGATGGCTGAAGGATCTCGTGACGTCGCAGAAAAAGGGTTTACTTGCGTGAATCATGCACATACCACGGTCAGCAGTCTGTAGATCTATGTAATTTTACAACCTCAATACTTCATGGTATGTATGTGATCTCACTGATGTGATATTGCGCTGACCCCATCAATCCCCTGTCGCTTTCAATGGCACGGAGTAAACTCGGCATAAGCTAGCTTGCTTTAGGCTCTACTTCGTGTGCCCTGATGCCTCATTTATCTTAGTCTCGTACTTTGTTTTCCATCGTAGGCGAGCCGCGATCTAGAATGATCTGTCTCGGACCGACCATGTGCACCCCACTACCTAAATAGCCCTAGCGGAGGGAACGCAATTTATTTTCAAGGCTAGACATGCATACCTAGTTGAAAAACATTCTCGATGGCGAGAAACCTAGCGGAATGTCTGTTTTCCCACCACTAAAGCGTCAGCTCTCATCGTTACACAGGGGAAACTACCCCCGTTGGGACTGTGAGCTACTCTTCTCTTGAACATCACCCTCGTTTGAAAGAATATACCTCGCGCTATCGCTACTGCCCACTCTGTGGC